AACTCACGCGCGGGGGATGGGGCAATAGGGGCATGAGGAGAGGGAGAGGAGAAGGTAGCAATACCAGGTCGTGTCTTCCGCAAGCAGCTGACAATCCCTTTGCATTCCCCCCCTTCATCTCTGCTTTCTCTCCCACCACTGTATCCCACAACGTGATGAGTGGTTCCTTCATATGTCCTCTCCCCTCAACTCGCTTTCCCCCATCACCCCACTCCAACCTCCACCCCCCCTCATAGCGTCTACCGATGTCCACTTTTTCCTCCATCTGCTCTCCTTTCCCAATCGTACTCGTTTTCCGTCTGCTCCTCCCGCTTCCCCCTCCCTCCGAACCCCCACCTCCCTCCCATCTTCCCACTGGTTGCCTCATTCGAGGCTGGCTGCAACCTTCGCGAAAGGAAGACGCCGCCCCCCGCTTCAGTTTCGCAGAACAAGAGCCCATGTCACCAGCAGACTCGCAACGGCGCATTCCCCCTGGCGACGGTCGCCGACCCCATTAGGTTCTCGACGCGTGAAATGGCGGCCCCTCTCCAAACCCTTCCCCCGTGAGCCCGCAAACCCTGAGATAGACTCAAAGGCACTCACGAAGTCCGCGACATGCCTCACATACTATCTGAAGGAATCCCCAAGGAGAGCCCTCAGACGACCAAGTGGCTGGCATCGTTTTGTCGCTAACCTTCCCGCCCCTAAACGTCCCCGTGCCGGTCACATTTCGGACGCAACGGCTCCTGAAAGTTACAGGTGACGGAGAATTTGATTGAATCAGGCGAATATGTGACGTCAGCCACCTTGAACGCCGCATCGACCGCGCGCACTAGTTCCCTAAATCAATGTTTTCCCCCGTCCCCCGCTCCATGGTGTGTGCAGCAAATTCAATGCATTCCCTAATTTGCTGCTCGTTTTCGTCACGAATACTCTGATGGAATGCGTGGGTCACTGGGGGAAAACATGCCGCGGGACCTTTTCGAATCCATTGTCGGGGAAATCCCAACGGCTCAACGGGGTCGGCGGTGCAGCGCGAGCCTTAAAATCAAGTGGCCAACGAATCAGCCTCCACCCCCCCTTTCCCCACTCCCACATCCCTCTTCATCCTCCAAATGCTCGCCCCCCCCCCGCCCCTCCCTCCCTCTCCTTCCCTTTCGCCCCCGATCCCTCTCATTATCGACTCTGGTATGTGTCACTGAAAAGAAGCTAGAACAACGCGCGCGCTTTGCGCGCTTAGTTTCCGGCCAGCACCCGTCCTTGACAAGTTCGCATCTGAATATACGCCAACCTGAAAGTGGCCATGAGTTGAATAGATCGAAGGCGAGCCGAACATAACCGCAAGAGGTACGCCCAAACATCTTCGCCGCGACGCAATGAACAACCGTACAAATATGCGAAATGACTCACTGCGTGGAGCTCCCCATGTGTGCATATCATGTCTTATGTCATGCCATAGCGAGCGTCTGTTCATGAGCGCTAGACAAAAATAGCGCGTCCACGTGGGCGACAGGGCCGACGAAGACGAGTGAATCCTAATGCGAGTGAGTGAGTATGAGTCAGAGTGAGCTTTGAATATGATTGAATATGAGCCTCCCACTCACTCCCCCTCCTCAGCTGCCAGGCCGTGCCCTCCTCAGCCTTTGGTAAATGTGTATATGTTTGAGGATAGTTGGCAGTGGGATCTGTAAAACGAGCGTTTAGCCAAGGGAGCAGCACGCCTCATCTCCGTCCTCGCAGCATAAAAACGACCAAACCGCCTGACACATCCCCGCAAAATGGCCGCGAACGGGCCCGTGAAAACACCCCTGGCGGCTCTCATTAGGGACCCGCCTGAGACATCCTCAAAATCTGCTCTGAAAACCAAGGGCGTTGGGCATGAAAACGAGCAAACCGCCTGAGACGACCCCACAAACTGGCCGCAAACGGGCCCGTGTCCTACCCCCTGGTGGCTCCTTTTGGGGGTGCTGAAACCGACGTCCCGCCGGAGACATCCTCGCAATCTGCTTTGAAAACCAAAAGTGTTGGGCGTGAAAACCTACAAACCGCCTGAGACATCCCCACAAACTGGCCGCGAACGGGCCCGTGAAAACACCCCTGGCGGCTCTCATTAGGGATGCTGAGACCAGCGCCCCGCCTGAGACATCCTCGCAATCTGCTCTGAAAGCAAAGGATGTTGGGCATGAAAACCTACAAATCGCCTGAGACATCCCCACAAACTGACCGCGAACGGGCCCGTGAAAACACCCCTGGCGGCTCCCCTTAGGGGTGCTGAAACAAGCGCCCCGTCTGAGACATTCTCAAAATCTGCTCTGAAAGCCAAAGATGTTGGGCATGAAAACGAACAAACCGCCTGAGATATCCCCACAAACTGGCCGCGAACGGGCCCGTGAAAACACCCCTGGCGGCTCCCCTGAGGGGTGCTGAAACCAGCGCCCCGCCTAAGACATCCTCACAATCTGTTCTGAAAGCCAAAGATGTTGGGCATGAAAACGAGCAAACCGCCTGAGATATCCCCACA